ATCATGTCGGGGAGGCTCGCTCCTTTGCGTGTACTTCCTCAAACGAGCTTCCTTGATGAGGGTTTCGATTTCATCCTTGAGGTGGATACAATCTTCAGTGATATGGCCGTGGCTTTGATGGAAACAATAGTACTTGGTCTTGTCGACATTTGCCTTAGAGGGTGACGGTCTGGAAAACCGAACACCCCTTGCTTAAATTCAGAGTTGATACACTCCGCGAGGATGCGCTTGCAGGGTAAGGTCAGTATAATGTATTTAGTAAAGTGGCCCGCTGGACCTTTGTGCTTGTGGGAGTCATGGGGATTCTCATATATTTTCTTGTCTCGGCCTTGTCGAGGAGGTGCAACGTCGTCGTACTTCGGGGCCCTGGTCCCCTCACGGTTCCTAGAGTCGCGAGCGTTGCTGGCAGCCTCCTTCTTGTCATAGTTGATGTAGGATCGGGCCTTGCGAAGGAGTTCAGAGAACGACTTGGGAGTCTCAATGTTATCTACCTTTCTGAAGTCTCCAGGACGCAACCCTTTCTCGAGGAGGTACGTCTTCATGCGGTCAGTCTTGGGGACTTGGATGGCCTCTCGATTGAACCACTCGATGTATGCTCAGAGGGGTTCATTATTCCCCTGGATGATCGCCTCCAGCGACACTTCAGTCTTTGAATGTCGCCCAGAAGCGGTGAAGTGCCTGGTCAATTGGGTCTTCAGATCTCTCCAGGAGGTGACCGACTCGGGGACAAGGCTCTTGTACCATGCTATGGCACTTTTCCTCAGAGTTGTGGGGAACAATCTGCACTTGATAATTCCCCTGATGTTGTGGTAATTAAACATCGCATTGAAGCTCTCAATGTGGTCATCAGGGTCCGTCGCACCATCGTAGGTTTCTAACAGTGGTGGTTTCTCCACCCCAGTGTGGAGCGGGATCTCCATAATCGTTTGAGAAAAGGGACCGTGGGGGTCGTCTTCGTCACTTCGGTTTTGTAAGCACGGTAGGGAGGAGTCGAGCCATGGGCTTCTACGATAACATGGTAAATATCTTGACCGGTTCTTAGGCTTGTCTGGTTATTTGACAGCCTTGTTCCTCTTTGGACTAGGGGATCGTTGTTCCTTCAGCGATGGAGTACAACCGCACTTCTTGATGACCGTGGGCTATGGCCTCTCCACCTGAGGGTGGCGGCCAGTTGGTCGCAGGGAGGGGCTTTAAGACTGATTCCTCGGGTGTCTCTGTGGGGGAGAACATGAACGAGCATCTCGTCGTCGCAGGGACGGACTGCGAGAGTCAGGTCCACAACATATTCTCGCAGGGGAGCGGGATCGTCGACCTTTCTCCAGCATTCCAACATGTTCATTTTGTTGGGATATCAGGTAGTTAGTCTTATTGATGACCGCGAACAAGGCCACAATGGTGGGATCAACATTGGGCAGCACAAGGATTTCCTGAAACGCTTCAGTCTCCTCGAACTATTGAGGGGCGTCGAAGGGGTGCTCTCGAAAAGACAAGGATGTGGTATGTTCGTCTCGGGGATCGCCTTGCTCGTAACCACCTGTCTCTTTGTTGTTGACGGTGGGGGGATTAGTCTCGTCGCTGTTACCATTGTTGTGCTGACTGGCCATGATGATCGGTACATGTTGAATAGTTTGCTTTGATCTTTGTTAGGGTAAGACGGGGAAGCAAAGATTCCCCACATACGACACCACTGATTGTACCTGGATCAGAAGGATCTTCAATGGCCTGCAACACTTGGACTTATGTGGTTGTTGAAGTGAATTGGGGGTACCTACAAGACACTTTGATTCCAAAGTGAGGTTTATAGCGAAAGTGTAAGTATAAAGTTAGAGTGAGTAGAACAACGTGTACCCGATCCTCTAGTGAAAAGGGTATTTATAGCCCCAAACGTTGGGTCAAGGTCTCCATTTGGGCTGGATGCCCAAGCCCATAATGGAGACTGCCAAGATCCTACGTGGATAGAGGAGACCAGTTCGTGGTCTCTATCCTGGTTCAACTGCCCCTCGATTCTCAGAAGGCGAAGACTTGTTCTTTTCGAGAGCAAGATGACTCCGTGATATTCGGGTGAACGTTGACCACATATCTTTGTCGGGCACATGGAGGGGGCGTCTCGACGAGCACGTGAAGGAGACGTCCTCGACGTACGCGTGGAGGAAAAGTCTCAGACGGACATAGCAATTTGGGCCATTGTTGTGGGCCTTCTTCACAACACCAGGTTGGCCTTACCCGACGGGAGATCAAGTGCAGGTCCAGTCCACAACAGGTTGTTGGACCTTTCTTACTGTAGAGTTGGATTGGACCTTGTCCGACAACAGACTAAACACATACCCAGTCCAGAATAATATTTATTTAAATAAGTTGGCATGATAGGTTTAAAAGGTTTTTTTACGGTCTGTGGCCTAATCTTTTTAACTAAATAAACTTATAAAAAAGCTTGAGCTTTTTCTATTTAATAAAAAATCTGACCTAGTCTAGACCTATATAGACTAGCCTGTAGACCCCTGTTATTGGTCTGACCTATTTCCACCTCTAATCACGCGCGATGACATTGATAAATAAATTTTTTTATTTTTTTTATTTTTTTATTTGTTTGTTAATTGAGTCACCTATTTATTTATTAACTCACATATTCTTTTATTTATTATATTATATATTCATTAATCAATACACATCTATTTATTTATTCTACTAACTTATAACTAAAATACAAATATAATACTCACGTTGAATTTATTTATAAATGTAAAATTATTTAAATAATAAAATAACAACTACGATATTAACACATAATTAGTTATTAAATATAGTAAATATATTTTTAAAATCTCTACAATTTAGAGTATACAAATACAAAAAAAGATTAATTTCAATATTAATAATTTATCAAAATTATTGTTTATAAAATAAATAATTAAAATATGATGATATATTTATAAATGATTAAAATATTATTTTTTACATGAGACAAATTGTTGAGTAAATAATATATTTACAAACATAATAAATATATTATATATAAAAATTATAGAAATGTTACAAAAACAATGTTATTTGGTACAGACATTATATTCCTAATATCACTGTTATTTTTAACTGACACTCGTATACGTTGAATATTATCATTTTCATCGATAATAGATATATATAAAATAAGTCTCTCGATTATTCTTTCATCATTAGCAATCTTCCTGTGTAACCAACACTTTCAAATTTATTCTAAGTTGTTCGAAATTCAAGATGTTCCAAAAACACATCTTTATCGTAGGTTTGATTCTCGAAAAACAAATATCATCATTTCTTTTAGTAACTATAATAGAACAAGTGAAGAAAGATTAAGGAGAAAAGGAAAAGAGTATGAAATAAATGGTAGAATACTCACTTTTTTTTACACTAAAAAAATCTACAATACATAGGAGTAAGATTAATTAGATAAACATGTGTCATGCGTTGTAAAATATTTCTTTGTTTAAAACATTGATAGTTTAGAAATTAATTAAGAAAGATAGTTATTTTGAATAAAAAATGCATTTTCAAGCAATTGATTATTTATTCATAAACTTATCGGTCATAAATATAATATAATTTAAATTTAATAAAAAGATTGAATCAAATAAAAGAAATAGTAAAAAATAGATTTGTTAAGTCCAATTATTTTTTCATCATCAACATCACTGAAGCTGTTTTCAATTGTTGAATCATTGAGAAGATTACTTAAAAAGTGAGTGGAAAAGGGTATTTTTCTAATCCACTTTCTACATCTTAACTCATCATCATTATTTCTCTTTCAACTTCTTTTTGCTACTGCATGCAAAACAAGATTATAGAAATGTATTTCAGATGGAACAACTCCTTCAATTTTCTTCATTTTTCATGTTTTTTTTTAGCTTGTGTGGTTTTTCTCAATTCCGATGCCTGTTTTGCTTTGATTTATCTTATTTTCTGACCATTTGTTTTTACAAATTTGGACCTGTATACTTTGTTAATTTGTACTGAGTAAGTGGATTTGTGTTTTCCCTGAAAATTATATGTTCCAATTGATCCTAAAAGTTAGTATTTTTCTTCGGAGTTTCTAGATGCAGAACTGAATTAGGGTTGCTTGATTGAAAAACTCCTTGTTTGTTTTTTAGTTTCTCTGGAAAAATCAAGGGCTGTGAAGGAAATCCTTTAAAAGATTCCTCATTGACTCTGATTGTTAGAAACAAAGCTTCTTACAGTTTATTATGATGCAAACACTTTGAATTCAAAATGTACCTGCCCGGATGTTGACCGACACCGACACATATGATCACTTTCAGTCAATTCCGGCGCTATCACGCCATAGCACTATAGCGGCCGCTATAGGGTAAATAGCGGGATAGTGGAGCAGATTATGCACTTCAAGATTCATGTGTGCTTTGATTTATGGATATTTTATGGATTGAGTTATTTGTTTAATTTTACATTAAATATATGTTTATAATTATTGTATATAATTTGTCCAAAAATTGATCAAATAAAGTGGTCATCCCGCTATACACTATTCCATTTTTGGAGTCATCCGCTCTACACCGCTATTCGGGAATGACTATTGTGTGTCTACTTAAATGTCAATGCCAGTGTCTGGTGTCTTTATAAGTGTTTCATATTATAAACTATTGCAAAAAGATGACATTCCATTTTTCATTCAGAGTAGATATAGTTGACAAAGTAGCTACAAGTTTTTATATGGAATCTGTAAAAGCATACATCAGGAAAGTTGTTATTGGAAGTTTGAAAACTGACTTTTTTGCTATAAAAACAGGACTATGTTTACAAGGTGGAAATGTTTTAGTTGTTTTGTTTTCAAGGACCCAGTTGATTAAGTGCGTGTTTGTTCTTGTGGTCGCATCAACGTAGCTGTGAGGTTAGACAGGGAATTGTCAACAACATTGGGACGCAAGATTTACAAACTGGACGTTGAAGCAAACAAGCATTAAGTGAACTTGAAAGATTTATTTAGAGAGTGGTGAAAGTAAACCAGAAAAATGGGATCTTTCATAGGTCATATTTTGCCAGGAACCTTGTTTCTTCTAGTTGGTTTATGGCATATATGGTGTGCTGTGGTGAGATATGTATCAAGTCCTAAGACATTCCGAGTTCATGTCTGGAATCCCGTACCCGGATTTGACGGGAAGCTCAAGCACTTGGAACTCTATGTTATTTCAATTGGCGCTTTTATTGACTTGTGCGTTGAGCTTTTAGTTGCAACACAACTCAGGTTTTTTGTTGGTGGAGTCTTGAATTCCACTTACTTGAATAACTTTGAGCACTCAGGAATGCTTCTCATGTTTCTTATCTTCGGTGTCGTTTCTCTGCTCTCAGAAAGGACAAGGTTAGGTGTTTCCGATGTTGTTATGTTCTTGGACTTTTCTTGCCATTACTTAATTTTGTTTTTTGTTAAAGATATAGCTTGTACATAAGAACTTAAGCTATAAGCGCTTAATTGAGTCGTTTTTCCTAATAGGGTTTAATTTGATCTTATTATGTAGATATGTTCCCTTGCCAGAAGGTGCACTGTGTTTAATTGCTGCAACTGCATTCACTGCAGAGTATCTTCTGTTTTACTTTCACTCAACAACACACAAAGGCCTAGAAGGCTATTACCATGTCCTCCTCGCCTTCCTAATCGGTCTTTGTATATTATGTTCAATTGCCGGAGCACTTTTTCCAACCAGTTTCCCAGTCGATTTATGTAAGGGCATTGCCATAACACTGCAAGGAATCTGGTTCTATCAGACAGCCTTTGTTCTCTTTGGCCCTATGCTACAGGCAGGTTGTACCATGAAGGATAACATTGTCACGTGTCATTCGCATGAGAGCGAGGTTTGTGGTGAGTTGTTTGCCAATGCTCAACTCTTTTTCGCCGTCCTTGCTGTTCTTGTAGGAACTATAGTATCCTTTGGTTTTGCAGCTTCTAGATACGGAAATTTAGAAGAACTTGCTCGTAATTCAGGGTTTGATTAGAAGAAAACTTATGTAGATTATGATATTATGTTTCTATTTTTTCTGGTAAATGTAACGTTGGAGTAAACAAGTGCTGTTTTGGTGTGATGAAAAGATTTTCTTAGAAGGTCAAGTGTAAAGTTAATTTGTAAAATTATTCACTTAGTTGGGATTCAATCACTATGTAAACTTAAATAATATGAGGAAATATCCATGATGGTGTATTCTAAGTAGTTTAATTCTTTCAACACATTAAGAAAATTACCATAGTATAATTGATTCTACTTATAGATGAGTATAGAAGATAACTTCATGTGATAGAAGGGTCTTCCCCCAAGCTTTAGGGGACAAATTACAGCTTATTTAGTAGCCGCAATGATGTAGATTTGTAGGTATTTGAGTTTGAACTTGAGATTTCTTACTTCTATATGTTTTAAGTGTATGAGTCTGATCACTAGACTATTTGATCATAAAAAAGACTACTAAATTGTCCCAAACAAGAGTGTCATAACCTCCATCACAAAGATTAGATGGATGATCGCTTTGGAGTTTTGTCACAACCTCCATCATTTCAAACTTTTATGTAATTGGCTTGATTGCTATATTTTTGTTTCCAACTATGTGGGTATGGTTTAAGAGGTGGAAGAAATGGAAGTGGGTGTAGTAATAGTAGTGGTTATGACAAGGCCAGTGTCTCTGATTATGATAATATAGCCGGGAGGAATTACCATGCAACCCCCTAAATTAAATATGCAACCCCCTCAATTTTATTTATTACAGTTTTGTCTTTAATGAGATACAAATAAATTTTCGGACGAAATTTTTTATAGAAGGGGTGAAATTTCCGGTACAACACAAATTTTTGGTACACTCTTGTCAAATTTTTGGTAAGAGTAAATTTCTGGTCGTGCATTTTAAATTTTCAGTAAACTGGAAATTTTAAATTTTCGTGTCAGTATCGGAAATTTGAGTTATACTGAAATTTCCGATAGGTTATGTCTTCGGTTTTTTTCAACGACGGCGACGTGCACGGAATTGAGTCTGCTGCTCCGCCAACCGTTTTCGGTGAGAACCGGTCGGAGGACGTCGGTCAGCCCGTAGCTCGAAGCCTGTCTCTCATCAGCCCTGGCCTGAGCTTCCGCTCTATCAGTCTGCCTGTCCGCAACAGTACCGTCTTTGCCTCTGGTCCTTATTGCTAAATAAGAAAAATATTAAGAAAATATGAACTATTGGGAATTTCTAAATTTTCGGTATTTTTCAAAAATAACTGAACTATTGAAAATTTCAACCGGTATCCTTTAAGGTACCGGAAAATTTTGAAATTTCCGATATGAAGGGAAAATGTTTATACCGGAAATTTCAAAATATTTTGTGCGAAAATAACGGATTTTTTGAAAAATCTAGTACAAACTACTAGATATTTCGCAAAAATATCGGAAATCCTTTGTTGTTTCACTAAATTTCCATTAGTCGCCTCAAAATTTTCAGTATCACTGCAGAGATTTGGAAAATCCAGTTAATCGCAAAAATTTAAAATTTCTAGAAAATATTTAAATCTAAATAATTTGATATTTCATATCTTTTGTAGACCATCATATATAAGAGGGAGGATAACGTGTTAATTCCTTTACAATCTGATTAAGGACAATCAAACAGCTTAACAAAAAAACATAAATTTTAGTTCTATTAACATTTACAACATACTAATATATGATATAATTTTTAGATAAATTTTATAAGAACGCATACTCATGTTTCAACTTAACATGCAACATCTTATTTATTCAACTTTAAAATATAGAATCTACTAACCAAAAAAATGTTACATTTTATTTGACTTAAAAATTATATTCAATACAGAATTCCATTACTATATTAACACAAAATTTTAATACAAATTTAAAAAAAAATTTACATATTCAAATAATTTATTCATTCTACCAATTTATATAAAAAATTAGTAATTATTTCTACAATTTTTTCTACATATCTTGACAAATCAAGTTTAGTTAGTAAAGAAAGAATTAATTTTTCTTTAAAATTGAGTTAATATTATCAAAATGAATTAATTTTTCTATAAAATTGAGTTGATATTCTCATATGAGAACCTTGTAGAGTGAATATATACTTTTTTTATTAAAAGTATTTTTAAAGTTATAATATATTTTATAAACCTGTCGTTTACATATAATATGACCAATATATGCTTTGTAGATGATTTGATGTTGTTTTTCAGAGGAGGTGAACAATCTATGAAGTAAATGATGAAGGTTTTTAAAATGTTGTCTGATTTTACATGGCTGCAGGCTAATCCCAAGAAGTGCAAAGTGTACTTTGGAGGTACAAATGATAGGAATAGAAGGAAAATTCTGACAGTCACTGGTTTTGAAGAAGGTTCATTACCATTCAAGTATTTTGGAGTTCCTTTTTCAAGCAGGAAATTGAGCATAAACCAATGTCAACCTTTGATAGATAAGATTGTGGCCAGAATCAATCATTGGACTGCTAAAATGTTGAGTTTTGCATGATTACTACATAAGGCATGTTGATGGAGTTAGTGTTGTTCATGTTAGGATCATTTTAAACTTTTCTTGTTAATAACTTTATAGAGTAAGTTTTGTTGTTAAACTATGAGTTATCATAGCTAGAGCAAGGGAATGCACATATTTATGTAATGGTCCATTGGAAGCATATCAACCACAAAATGAAAAAAAGAAAAGAAAAAGTGTTTACTTTATTATCACATTGGTACAATTATTTTTATTTCTCTAATATTTATAATTGTTGGGATATCTCAACCATGATTTCACCTAAAAAAAAATTAAATATGATGATAACTTTCACATAAATCACATAGTTATGCTTTCAAATGTATTAATTATGAGTTAATAAAATTTATTAATAGGAAAACTTAAAAACATAATGTGATTTGAAGTGTATTAATCATGGTGAATGTATTTTATGAATACGAATGATTATAAATATTATATATAGTGTAATAATATCATAACAATTAAAAAAAAAAAATAAACAATCGGGCCCGGCTAAATAGTCATGAATAACGTTAAATCTAAATTATTATTTAAGGAATGTGTAATAAAGAATTTATTTAATAAAATTGATTTATATAACTATTTTTAAAAGAATATTCAAAAAAATATATTTTTGTCGTCTCAAAATATAAGAGAAAAATTCAATTTTTATTTTTTCCAAGATAAAATTAAATATATATTACATTTAATTTATCATCTTTCATCTTTTCTATAACTAACATTAAATTATAATTGTTTTTATATATTATTATGTATTTTTTTCAAAAAAAAAATCACAAGTCAAAGTCAAATCATCGTGCTCTTATTTTTTTTAATAAACGTGATTTTATTTTTTTTTCTTTTATATTTTGACACGGAGGGAGTAAATAAGAAATATAATCTATAAATATCACACTAAAATTATTCTTTTTTAATACATAATTTTTCATATGATAATATTATATAATAATTAATTGAAAAATTATTAAAAACTCTTATTTATATTTTCATTATATTTTAAAAATAAAAGTGTGCGTACCACATCCGTACTTATGTGAATGTACGGGTAACACATCAGTATTATGTGAATACATATGTAACTATATCAGAATTTGTGTGAATTCAGAGATTATTATATTTTTATACCATTAAAAAAATAAAAATAACATTTGAATTCAAACAGATAAAAATGAGTTATTTTTTAATTATTTGTGTTGCTAATATTTTTATTTTGAAATTATTTTTAATTTAAGATTCAGTATTTTTTAAGATAATATATGGAAAATTGAAATATATCTTATTGATGTAAAACAATTTTGTTTTCATTTTAAAAATTTGTATTTTTTTAAAAAATAAATTATTTTTGTAAAACAATTTTATTTTTTTTATTTATATTTTTTATTTCATTTTGAAAACATAACCCTGCTTATGTTAACGCAAATCATACCAAAATATGTGCAAACACAAAGTTATTATATTTTGTGTACAACTAATTAAAATTTATGTAAAATTAATGTATTAATCGAAATACGAGAAATATATATTATTTTTTAAAATGTTTATTTTAAAATTATTTTTAATTTAAGATACAATTTTTTTAAAAATAATATATATATAATTGAAATATATATTATTGATGTAAAACAACTTTGATAAAATAATTTTGTTTATATTTTTTAAATAATAAACTAATTTGATAAAAAAAAATTCTTATTAATATTTTTATTATATTTCAAAAATAAAAACGTACTTATCACCTGTACTAGTGTGAACACACGGATATTTTTTTGTTTGTTCAAAGAAATATAATACTAAGTCAAAACTTCATAACAAAAAAATGTGAGTATGATTAATATGAATGAAAACATAGATACTTTTGTTCTAGAATTGTGAAAATTAAACAAAAACTAAAATTAAAACAAAGAAAAAAATTAAAACTTCTAACAAATTATAAAAATTAATTTTTTTAAGAACGGTTATATACAGACGAAAACATATGTATTGTAGTTTTAAAATTGTGATGATCTAAATAGGTGAGGTTGTTGTCGATAGACGTTGAATACCTGAAATTTATTTATTATTACAACAATCACCCTCATTATTAACTCTAAGAAAGTTCAAGACCAATTTCAAAGAAGGAAAAAACAATAAAATAACTTAAGTGCATGAACAATTTCATCTTATATTCATCTATACTCTCAACCTTAAAATAAACTATTGTTTTTCCCCTATATAGTTGATAATTTCCTTATCTTGTTTGTTATTTACTAGTTTGTCAATCTATCAAGCATTCTATAGAGTTTATACCCCATCAAGATTTCCACTGCTACAAGTATTCTTTCAAGAAGCCTCTAATATATGCTAACACCCCAACATGTTTTAACAAGAAAGAACGATGCTAAATACTACAAATAAGTTTGTATATGAATGACAAGAAGGCATACATGTCCTTTTTGAAGTATACAAAAGATGGTTTCATGTGTCAGGTGGTGAAATGAGTCTATCAAAATTGTGTTTGCCCTTTGTCATTCATTATTTCATAACAATCCACATTTTCCTTTACTAAAAAAGAAATGCTTCACTCAACAACTCATAACACAAGATCATTCGAATTTAGTGTAGAGTAAATAGATGTTTGCAACTTATGGTCTTGAAAACAAAACTATCCTTCCTATCGTGATATCAGCAACATTCTTTAATAAAAAATATAACCGACACATCAGTATCTGACATGATATTCTTCCCTATATTGCTGACTGTAGTCTTTCTTGTTACTGATGTGAAGTGTTCTCTCCATCATGGAATCGAAGGCTAGGAGAGTCCGGGGAAATAACTTCAATGTTACTAATAGGACCTCCTGTTCCATGCTAACAAAATGAGAAACAAAGAGTTCCATCAAAAAGTAACCACAAAGCCAATAGTTGTTTTAGCCTTTTTGGAATCAATCTTTTCCTGCAAAATAAGAGATGTAAATGTCAAGCTACTTTCTTCAACAACAGAAGCAGGTAATGAAGTTAATATAGAGGGAGAATACTGCAAGTATTGTCTGATGATTTCAAGAGAACATCCTCATTTACATGCATGCTATTCCTGATAAAGATTCTCAAATGTGTGTACTACTTCAACAGGAAGAATCAATCGTAAAGAAATCAGAACGTTCACACGGAAAGTCCAAACGACGTTGGGTAAGTCTAGTAGGATAAAAAATCCTTTTTATTTAAGGGTGAGAGACAGGGAGGGGTTTTATGGGAACAGAAAGGGGGAGAATAATAAATACATCAATTGGAACTGAATGCAGCGTCAGTACAAAAAAAATTAACAATCTTCGGTTTTTCATGTCATAATTTCAGAGAGTGAAATCAGATTTGGATCTAACACAGTCGTGTTTTAATTCATTCGTTGCAGTAGCGGATTGCAGGCCATCGATCAAAATTGGACGACACACATTTTACCTGTGATTTGACAAATAATTCACAGTTGGAATATGCGGCGTCTGATTTTAGTGAAACAACTAGTGACTTCAGAAAATGTGTGAAAACGCGACTGCAAAGATTTGCGAACCACGGAAAAACTAAAGCTATTAGCTACTATCATTGGAAAGTTGTCAACCTATATTTCAGGTTAGGTATATAACCATCATAAGAAAAAACTATTAGTACGAAAGTTTGAGCATTTCTCTAGATTCTGATTTTGGACTTGTTCTAGCTGGTGTGTTAAGCACATTAAATAAGAAAGTTATAAGATAAAAGACATTTCTCCTAATGACGATAGTTTTCTAACATTGTTATATGACATAAAATGAAATAGTATATAGCACCATCAACTTAAGAGTAATGGGTGAAGTTTGACTGTTTGAGATTCTCACTGCTAACTGATAAAGTTATAGGGTTCTAAGTATAGAAGGCTGTGGGACTTGGTCGCGAGTTCAAGTCATGGAAATGCTGAAATGAAAGGCAAGGTAAGGCTGCCTAAAATAGACCCAAAAATAAGTCCAATCATTCCCTAGACCTTATCTAAATGGGAGGCTTGTAACACCAGAATGACTTTCTAGGTTTAGGAGGAAAAATAGAGAGAAGAGATTAAATATTTCAAAAATAAGAAAAAATAATGTGTTGGATAACATGGTAAATGAGTGAGTGTTGTCGATGGCAGATGACAGAAAGCCAAAATCCCGCCATACCGGCCTCTATGTGGCGCCGTTATAGCGGATTATCGGCTAATATTTACCATTGCGGCGAGCCCAAAAAATTGCCATGTATATCCGCCACAGCCCACGCGGGACATGGCGCCGCTATTTGAAGACACTGAATGCTAAAGCAGAGAAAAGAATCACTTGAAATAAAGATTAGTAGAAAAACATGCATGAAACTAACTCAGCCAGATAAATGCTGCAAAAAGGAAAGCAAACTATTTGTATAAGACAAATACTAGGTATTTGAGTAGAGATGAGTTTCATATTCTAAAACAAAATAATACCTTTACGAGGGAAAATATGGTCATGAAATGCTTGTACATTTTTACATGCAGATGTAGTAAGCAAAGGCAAGCTGTTCTTCACGTCAAGGAAATCAGTTCCATTGATTGATAAATACTTTTGGTGAAAGCAAGAGAACTTCTCACCAGCTTCTCGTTGAAAATCAGACACAAGGGGTGAATTTCTAATCCAAACGTCCTGTGCAGTTTGTGTAGCAGAACATGCTAACTTCAATGCAGAGCTTTTTGTTGCCAAAAAAGCTGGATTAAAATAAGTCACAAGTGACATGGTAATCTTTGATTTTAATCACACATAATATTTGCATCAATTTGAGCATGGCCATCAGTATATTACAAAATATTGGGTACAAAATTGGAAACAATTGATAGAAATCTCTAATGTTTATCTATTTCAGACATGAAGAATGAACCAAAGAGGTTTTTACCATTATATGGAGCTGCAAAGATAACATTAGCTGGAAGACCAATTCCAATTCCAGCAAGAGTGACACCAACATTGAATCCAACACCACAACCAGATCCAACATAGCCAACAACTTCAGGCCCAAATCCAGGACCCCATCCAACACCACAACCTACTCCAAAACCCATTCCATAAAAAGCTCCATAAGTTGGATGAACAGGGTTCCATTTTTTATATCTTCTAAATAATCCTTTTATAATCATTATTACAACCTAAATAAAAGAGTCAAAACATTGCAGTTGTAAGTAATCGATTTCAATGAAATCACGTTTGGAAAATCGATTTTGATAATCTACAATTTTAAATACACGCATGACTAAATGTAAATTGGAAAGAGAATTGTGAAAACTTACGAGTGGAAATTATAATTGAGCTAAATTGACAAGAACCGCATATGCCAAATGAAATCGTTGAAATATAACTTAAGGTGAATACCATTTTTGCGCCTCTTGTCGTATCAATATTATGTCGTTTTAAAGTTTATTATTTCATATATTTTAATAATAAATTATGTTGTTAATTTTTGTGAGTTAATAATTAATATTTGTTACATAATAATAATAATTTTTTAAATAAAACTAATATCTATTAAATTGTAAAATAATAAACTTTACAAACTACAATTTGATATATATTTTTTTGTTAATATTTATTATAATTTATTATAATATTAATTCAATTTAAAATACTTACAACATTTGGTACATTTGCCATAAAGTATGTTTGTTTCAGGTTTTTAAATTAAATATATATTATTATATATTTTTGTTTACATTTTAAAAAAATTACATAAAAATAAATTTAAATATTTGTTTTTTAATTTTGATTTAATATATTTAATCATTTTACCGTTTTTTATATTAAATTTTTAAAAAATTATTTAAATTTAAATTTATATCATATAACTTTTTATATAAAAAAATATGTTTTAAAGAAGTCTTTGTAATGTCTAAAACAGGCTCTCAAAGTTTGGTATGAAAGATTAAACAATTTCCTTTTAGAAAATGATTTCATCAAAGGAAAGGTTGATACTACCTTGTTCTGTAAGTCTTTCAAAAATGACATTCTGGTAGTTCAAATATATATTGATGATATTATATTTGGTTTTACTAATGTTACTCTGTGTGAGGAATTTGTTAAGTTTATGCAGGCTGAATTCAAGATGAGCTCGATGAGATAACTCAAGTTCTTTCTGGGAATCCAAATCAACCAAGGCCTAGAAGAAACTTTCATCCATCCGTGCAAGTACACTAAAGAACTTTTGAAGAAGTTTAACTTGTTTGGTTGCAAGACAGTAAAGACGTCTATGCATCCTACTTGCATTCTGGAGAATGATGAGGTAAGTGGTAAGGTAGATCAGAAGTTGTACAGAGGTACGATAGGTTCTCTATCATATTTAACTACTTCTAGACCTGATATTTTATTCAGTGTTTGCTTGCTTCCAATCAGATCTTAGAGAGTCTCACTTAACAGTTGTTAAGAGAATTTTTAAGTATTTGAAATGTACTACTAATTAGGAGTTTTCGTGGGCCGGTTGAGTTTGGTTTCGAGAGAATCTGATACCCGAACCAATGAAATAAAAATGAATTGGATTTCTATATTTTCGCAATAAAGCCCAACCCAAATCGATCCAAAAAATAACAAATTTGTTTAGATTTGATTGATCATGTATATTAAAAATAAATATACAAAAATAATTTTAAAAAATTATTTATGAGTTTTATTTATAATATTTGTGATGTTTGGTTTCTCTATATTTGTGATGTTTGGGAAGAAGGTTGGGTTTTGCGGTCTGTAAATGCTTGCAACTTGTAATTTGTGAGTTTGATTTATAATATTTTTTATGGTTAATTTCTCTATATTTCATCATTGATTAATATTGTTGTGATAATTTAAATGATGTCGTTCTATTTTTCATTAGAAATGTCTGGAGACTCTGCCTCTTTGTTTCTTTCATTATTGTTAGTACTTAGTAATTATTATAACATTATTCTCGTCATTCAAATAAATAAGTAATAATTCAATTAAAATTAATAATCTAATATATAAATTAAATATATTTATTTTAATTGGTTTGGTTCGAGTATAGAGGTAGCAAATTAGAAATTCATTGCTCGAACCAATTAACGTCGTTTTTTATTGGTTCAGATTTTGGTTTGGTTCAGATTTTCCCGAACACCTGAACACCCCTACTACTAACCTTGGTTTATGCTATACAAAATCAAGTGAATATAATTTAATAGGTTATTGTGATGTTGATTATACTGGAGATAGACTAGAAAGGAAAAGAACTTCTGGAAGTTGTCAGTTTCTGGGAGACAATTTGATCTCATAGTCCAACAAAAGGCAATTAACAATAGCTCTCTCAACTGTAGAAGCTGAGTATATTTCTTTTTCTGGATGCAACACTCAGATCTTCTAGATGAAAAGTCAGCTAAAAGACTACCAGATATATGAAAGTAACATTCATATCCTCTGTGACAATACTTCTGCCATTTGTTTATCTAAGAATCCCATTTTACATTTTAGAGCTAAACATATTGAAATTAAACATTATTTTATAAGAGGATATATTCATAAGAAAATTGTATCTTTAAAATTCATAGATACAAAACATTAATGGGTTGATATTTTTACAAAACCCCTTTATGAAGATATGTTTGTTTTCATTCTGAAGAATTTAAAAATGGTTTTATGTCCAAAATGAAAAAGATAAAATCTCGGAATGTTATCTTCTAGAATGATAAAATGAGACTCTAAGACATTTCATTTTATTCGCTTCTGGAATGTGAGGCTTATGAAGAGTGAAGTTCACATGTATCGTAAACGTCTTAGGTCAGAATCTTTTATTTTTGAAAGTTTCTGTCCTTTGGAAGCTGAAGAGTATATTTCATTAATGAGTTGCCAGGATAGTGAAAGGTTAGTGATTCAAATTAAGACAACTGTCTTTTCTTGAAATACGCATAACACTTGATGTGACATATTGGGAGAAGAGATCTCATTGGGATTAGGTAAAAAATCTCTACGTTTTACGCCTTGTCAGAATTTTTGCACTATTTAAAATAATTTTTAAATCATTGCAAAAACTCTATTTAAAACCATCCACTCCCACTTCACACACTTTATTACCATTATCTCACACTTTCTCTCTTTCAAACCCTAAGTTCTCTAAAACCCAAAAACCCCTTTTCGGTTTGTGTTTGCAATGGCTGATCAACAACAACAAGGTTTAACTGCTCAATAATTGGTTCAAGGTTCTTCATCGTCTCAACAACAATAACAAGATCCCGATCTTCATTTGTCAACAGTGGTAGACAAGCCACTCGTTCTTTCTGAGTTGATCGTCGATTTTTGAGATTCTCAAGGCTCATGGTTTTGATCTCACTGATGTTGTGAAGTCTCAAGGTTGGGAAACCTACTTTGATCGGTTGAAATGTCAAGTTTATTCTCAACTGGTCAAGGATTTTTGAATACATGCTTATGTATAAACTAGTGGTCATATCTTCTCAAAAATCATGGGTTAAAGCATCTGGATCACTGAAGATGATATTGTTAAACTTCTTCAACATGATGGTACTGGCATTAGATGCTATGGCAAACAGTTTGTTCTGGAAAACATGTGTAATCATGTCTTTACATATGTAATGGCTAAAATTAGTTTGTTTATCTTTCAAGTTGGAAAAGATACTTGTCGTGTAAAGTATCTCTTCAACGATTTGAGAATTTGGTTCAGAATCTTTACAGGTTGCATACACCACAAAGATTCAACAAATTCTTCAAACTTCATTAATTGGGATCAAAAGTATATGTTTCATCACATGACCAAAGGAGATAAGCTGAACTTACCAACAATTATGCTCAGATATATGGAAGACATGATTAGGGTGACCAGAGATGGTAGTCTTAAGAAAAGACTTTGGATCCCAGTGGGAAGATTAATTATAAACATTTTGATTGAAAATAAACGTGTGGATTCTTTGAATCTGCAAAGGGAGTTAGATGTTGTGATTGGAAGTCCTTTCAACGGAAAAGATTTAAAGGATGACATGTATATGATTTATGAGGTTGTTGAGATACATGAAGACCTGGTTAAATACTTTCCAGATTTTAACCTTCCCAGGTTTCCTGAACTTTCTTTTGCAAGGAATAAATTAGAAAAAGGAAGAAAAACAATGGAGAAATGAAGAAGAAATGCAGCATTTAGCAGCATTTTGTACCAGAAGGCGTGCCGCCTGCCATGCATGTGTTATTAAATTTATGTTTTAATTTTATGTGATCCTGCAATAAAATCATGTCTGACTAAATTCCCCGATACCAGTATGTAAATCTTAAACCGAAGGGATTCAGTAATAATTGGCATTAATATTTTACAAAAACACTTTTCTGGTTTTAATTTTCAATTTGGATATTTAATTGTTTTTGTACGAGAGTAAAAGTCAGACTAAGGTTAAAATCAACAAAGCGAGAGTTTGAGGTTTTAACCAGATAGTGGTTATTAAACATTAATTTTAAAAACAACGAGAGCGCTTTAAAATTAATTGGAATCTATTTGTTTTCAAAAAATACTTTTGAATTTTAAATGAAACATCAAGAGTGCTCATTTGAGTTTAATAATCTGACCTGAATCGATAGAACGAAAGTGTGAGACGAGGGTTTTTAAATGAATAGTTTCCACTAAAACAATGTTTTAATACTAAAAACAAATGCCAATGACTTATTGAATCCCTGAAGTTGACAAAGTACATACCGGTGTCCCCTGATTAATTATTAGATTTTAGTTAATTCCCGACTAAACCCAAAACACCCAAATTTTATAATTAGCCTTAGCTTTACACGGTGACCCTAATATAACAGTAGTTCGACCATCAGTCCTTGTGGGTTTGATATCTTTTAGAACTACACGATAGATTGTGCACTTGCAGTCACTGAAGGAAAATTGCGATCAAAAGCGCAGCGGAATTTAAAATTTTCCTTTAGCGATCCTTACGAATGAGCATGGTCAGTGATAAAAACATTTACCTCTTGTGGCGATTCAGACCTTTGATGTTGTGATCACGAGCATTGATGAAGAACAACGCCTCTACTCAGTCCATACGAACAGATCGCTTCCGGTCACAGTGCTAGCTGATCACGAACGAAAACTTTGAGTGAGAGAGAGAATCAAAAACGAAATTGCATCAAATGAAATTGCTTCATCACAAGG